ATAATCGGCTCGTTTGACGTGGCTCTCGATGTCGTCGAGCTGCTGGCCCTGGTGCTCCACTAGCACCGCCATGTCTAAGAACACCTGGTGCAGCTCGTTCAAGCTCTTCTCTATGTCCTTGACGGCGTCGTGCCTTTCTTGTATCTCGTTTATCGTATCCAAGATTCGTCCTCGGCCTTGCTCTTGTATGGCTTTTTGTAAGAACGTCTCGCTCTCTCCTGCAATAATTTCAAATATGGTATTAATTATAACATGGAATATATACACAACCAAAATAAACCGGTTTATACCGACTACATTCTTTAATTCATAGAAATGTGACGAACCGTGAATTCATGAACCTGGGTTACACACTGATAGTTATCTAAATTGGGATTATCGGGAAATCAATCCAAATACCCAAAAGAAAAAACAAGTTTTCCATGTTAAATTTCATTATTTAATTGCTTTTTAAGGGAAAAAATATTGACAAAGTTCGTCCCCATTAAAAAGGTTATTTTATTTCGACAAATGAACTTCAATTTCGAATATCAATAACAGTAATTATAGCATTGACTACGAAACAACTGGTAAAAGTTCTTTGACCAAGCCAACAAAACAAAGTCTCCATTCCAGAAGAAAAAAGTCTTGCACGGAAAAAAAAAAAGCCGTCAGAAATATCTTACCGGTGGAGATGAGGCGATCAAGCGTCTTCTCGTCGGGATTCTCGCCGGTGACGGTAAAATACCTCCGTTGAACAGTTTCTCTGTACTCCTCTGAAATTTTTTCTCTCAATCGATTAAATTCATCCATCGAATCCTTCATCTTCTTCCTCAACCCATTCACCACCGAGATCCGTTGCCGATCCGACGACGAACCCGGTCCACATCCCGGTACGCTCCGGTTCACCTCGTTGGACCGGTCAATCTCCTCGAGCCTCGTTTTCACACGCTTCGCCGTCTTGAGCGCCGCCGCCACGTCAGCATCCATCTTCGCCCTCAGCTCCTTAACCGCTGCAGCCCTGTGGAGCGTCTTGCTCTGCTCGTGGCTTGATCGGAGTTCACCGCAGAGCCGATCGAGCTCTCGGATGTCGTCGCTCGCCGTCTCCACATCCTTGAAGAACTTCTCGAGGTTGTTCCCTCCTCCTCCATCACCGCCGGAGGTCATCGCCGCAGACATCTGGATGATGTGAGGCGGAGATGAATTCCGGCGACTGCTGTCGCTTGAGAAGGTGCGGGAAAGAAGATCGTTCATGGCGAAATCTCAGATCAAAACGAGATACAAATTCAAATTCAAACTCAAATTGGGTTAACATGGAGGTTGATACAAGAGGGATATAGATAAATACGAATCCCGCGAGGCGAAAAGTCTGTTAAGAAATGGGAAACGCGGTTTTGAAATTGGAGGGTCTTTGTAATATTCAATTACTTAACCGGAAAACCGGTTTAGTTGGTTAATCCAGTCCAACTAGACATTTTGGTTCAGATATATCAAACTGTACATAACTAAACCAATCAATATATAACCATATCCGGATTACATGAATGAAATAGAACAAAAATAAAAGTTTATTTAGAAAATGATAATTTTTTTATTAATTACTAAATTTGGACAGAATTACACAGCAGCCAAACTAAACCGAAAAAATCGATATAAAAATCGAATGAGTATTATTTTTTACAAAACAAAACAAAGACTAAATGAGAAAATAACTGAACCAAAATATAATTCAAATATAGATATTTATAGGATTACAATGTTAGATTAATATTTAACTATAATATTTATAATTCTACTCCTTAATATGGAAAAATTATTTGATTGAGGGACAATGGAAATGAATTTTAAGAATAGGCTATAGGTTCCAATTGGTTAAACCAGTTTTAACCGGTATCATGGGAGCCATCCCAAACCGTTATCTAGGGAGGAAAAAGTCGTATGCACATTTTTCCAATATTTCCAATAGGGCGGACGGAAGGATCGAGGAAGGGGACTACTGTTTTACGATGAACTAGTATAATGAAACATAAATATTTTAAAAAGGTGGAAAACAATTAAAAAAACTCATAAAACAAATATTTAAATTTAATAGAATCAAATATTTTTTAAATAATAATTCTATTTTTTTAATTAAAATAATCGAAAGTATAGAGTAATTTTTTTTATTTTATTTGGTAAATCTTTTAAAATTAATTAAAACAAACTGAATCTGAATATCAAAATATGTAAAAATAATAATAATATTACGAACACAATTTTCAGTTGAAACATTTAACCAAAAATGAATAGAATATGTTTTAAGTTCGGGTTGGGCGTAAATTTCAATCAAAAGACAATAATTAATTACTTGAATCCACACGTTTGAAATATTATATTTACGGTCAATTGCAAAATGAAGATTCATTCTTAACTTTGATTGATTCTCCCAACTTTTATGTAATTTAAATCTCTACGTAAATACCTAAAAATGCATATTTCTAAATAATGAAATCCTAAATTAAAAAAGGATAAAAATTAATTTTTTTTAATATCAATAAAATAATTTAATTTTTTTGGCCTTGAAACTTTTGTAAATTATTTAATTTTCTTTTATAAACATAAACATTTTAGTATCTTGGTAATTGATGTATATAAATAGATGGTCCACCTACTGTGCCCAATAAAGCCCAAACCGGGAGAAACCCAAATTAGGCCCAATATATTGGCCCAGTCGAATTTCGGGAGATACTGTCACGGTCAGAGATCGAGTCAAGAAAATTAATTTAAACTAAATTTATATAATTTTACTTTTTTATTCTATTCTTTAGTATTAGGATGGTAATTCAGATTTAAATAATATTTGGGTTCGACTATATTTTACTCCATTTTTAAAAAAATTATATATATTCTATTTTATTTTATAAGATTTAAATTATATTTCACTAAAAACAACATCCATTTTCAAACAAATTTTCTCAATTATTTTCATATTTGACTTAAATTCTATTTAAATTCGGTTATTTTATTAATTTATTATATATTTAACTATAAAATTATTTTTTATTTGATTTACTTTAGATATAATTATATCTTATTTAATTTTAATTGTATGTATCCGAACTAAAATATGTATCATTTTATTTTTAAGGTAGAAAATAATAATTTTAAAAAGTAAACCTATCTAATTCATTTTCTCCTTAGAGAATAAATAAAACTACAAAGTTTTGAGTTTTTTTTTCGTGATCACCGATTTGGTTTTTCGTTTTGGGGGTTCTCTCGTAACAGACATATTAAAATTAATAGATTTTGAAACGAGGACATAAAAAAAAGTTAAAATAATCTGAAATCAATAATTGAATATGTGGTCAAAACATGATCCCCACTTATTAAATTCGTGGGTTTAGGACTTATAAATTTTCAAAAGCGGAGTTAATTTGCGGTCTAATAATGGGTTTGGTGCGTTCGGACCATCAGATAAAGACATGCGACGCCACGTAGGACGCCAGTCAGCTCCTTTGACCATCCTTCCTTCTTTACACTGTTCGGTTTTATTTCTTTAAATTTATTTATTGTAACAGTTTTACGTGGTACTCATTTTATCTACAAGTTTTTCAAAATTACCCGACTTTATGATATTTAGAGAATTCGAGTGGAGCGAAATTATCATACAATTAATAAATTCCGTTTTTTTTTTCTCTTTTATTTATGGTTTTACATTCACATACCCTCGTATACTTCAATATATACGAAAAAATCAAAACATCATTGATTTTTTTTTATCAATATTATTAATATATCTTTAAAATTTTTAATTTTAAAAATATTTATATATGTCTCTATGTTGGGTAAGAATGGATGTCTATGACGATAACCAAAGTAGGAGATTGGATTTGGATATTCGTATATATCCGAATTTTTTCTTCAGATATTGAGAGTTTAGATATAAAAAACCTTAGGAATACAAGATCGGATGGTTGGATATTTCAGATTTACATTTTGTAATTCAAAAATTCGGATATCCAACTCTAGTTCTATTTAGAGATATTATCTCATTTTCAGTTTTCAAATGTCTTTTTATCTTATCATTTAATATATATATATATATATTTTTAATTTTACAACCATTTTTGCATAAATTGAATACAGTATACATATTAATGGGCATTCGATTTATTTTATTTTTAAATTGAACAAAAAACATCGTCGTTCCTACAATTTTTTCCATAGTTTTTTTGTAACCGGATGTTTTGAATCCATATCCAAATTAATCTCGACACCGGAAGCAAACTTTTTACCACATTTAGTAGTCTGAGTCCATATTAATTAATAACGTACCTAATGACGGACTCGGACCATTAAATGTAGCAAAAACAACTATTTCTTTCACATGGCTTATCTAATTGGAAGATGTATCAAAAAATAGTTTTTCATCATATCCCCACAAAATATTATTAGAATATATGGTTGGTTTAATATCAGATTCAGTTGGTTGGTTGGTTGGTTTGCATAAATATTTTAACTCTGCATTGATGTTGAGTTTAAAAGAATAAAAGATAATTCGGTCAAAAAAATTTCAATATCTATCAAATTTCGCATCTGTTTCGATATATTTCAACGTGATTTGTTTCTTCTATTCTACACCATAGCCAACTATATATATATGAAATATAATTTTTAGGGGTGTGAGCATTCCAATTTTAGGTATACGGGTCGATAATTTTCTGATTTGGATTTTATTGGTTTTGGAGAATTATATGATTAGGTTTTTATATTAAATTTGTTTCGTTTTATTTTCTTTTGGAATCCTGTTTTCTTGATATTTTGGATTCGATTTTAAAAGAATATATTTATTCAATCTTTGTGTTGAATTCGTTCGTACAAGATTATATCTTTTCAGTTCGAATTGCTTACATTTGTAAAGACTGAGTCACGTAATAATTTTAGTGTTATGGAAGCATAAATTTCATTTAAAAGATACTCTCCTCCATTTCTTAATAATTGACGTTTTAACTTTTTTTTCTCAATTTTTAAAAAACTATAAAAAAAAGGTCATATCTATCATTATTTAATAGCTTAATTATAATTAATATTCATTATTTTTTTTGGAATTGGTTCGTTTTAATTAAAAATAAAATTGAGAATTTTTTTTTAAAAATCATCTAAAAAAATTTAAACTGATATCTATTATGTAACAAAAAATATTATCTTGGAATTAAAACTATATGTGAAAATATGTCATGTTTACGAAACAATTTCAATTTGTTTTTTTTTTTATATATTATTTTAATTTCAAGAACGCACAGAATCAAATAGCCTATACGAGTGGTAGACAAATCTGTTGAATACCAAAAAAAAAATCTTAAAACGAACATATAACTTCAGTAAAGAGAACAAATAGAACTCAGGGAATCTTGGAGATCCAATAACACATGATCCAAGAAGCTCGAGATCCCGGAGAGATTGACTCCCAATATCGTCTAATTATTAATAATAATAATAATAATAATAATAATATCCATTACTTGGTTCATAAAACTGTTCTCGCACGTGAAACCATTTCCGTATCTCTTCTTGTGCCATTCTTCTTCTCTTTTTTTTTTGCTTATTAATATTCTTTCAATTCAAACCATCAAATTGATCTCACAAATAATGCTATGATATATACACTTAGACATCATATTAAACTCTCCCGTATATAAATCTACGCCATCTTAATTTTTATTTCTCGTATCATAGATAATTTACGGGACATTTATCGGATAAATCCTATAAATAAGCGCTTTAGATTATAGAAAAGATAAATTTAGGTGAACTTTTTAAAATATATATATATTTATCAGTTATATTGAGATAAAAAATTATGATGAAATACTATGACAGATATAATCGCAAATCTTATGAGTATCAATATGAAAGCGAATTCTATTTATAGTGATTTTGCTTTATGATTATTATTTTTCAAATTTGATTATAACTTTTGTTGTTGTTGTTGAATCTGATTATAACTTGCTTAAAGCATGCATAAGCTACTTAAGTTTATTGACATAATTTCTAATTCAATTTCAAAAATAGGGCTAAAGGAAAAATAAAATAAAATTTCATAATAAATAACCAACCCTGTTTTACCGAACATTACGTATATATAAAAGTTTACATTTACCAAAAAAAGAAAAAGAAAAGAAAAGAAAATAAAAGAACCCTAGGTATTGGTAAATAACATCCCCTTAAACGAGCCGTACAAATAGCTCGATGTACACCCCAACCCCCATCCTCCCCAAGAAGCCAATGGTTTCTTGTTCGCTTCGAAACGATCTCCGATACATAATTAATTAAAAACCATGAATCTAATCAAAACTACCCTTTTTAATATCCAATTTAATTAATTATTTATTTAATCTCCCCCTGTAAGCAACACTAAGTTCACCCCTACGAGGCATTTGCTTCCCTCACCATCACCCCTTCATCCACTCACCTCCCACCACGTGTCACTTCCCTCCCCACATGTGCCCGCTACACATATCCACACACCCACACACGCATATACATATACTTTGCACATACATATATATATATATATAGATGCTTTATTTTTATTCCAAGGCTCTTTCAATGGTGGAGATCATGGAGAGAGGCGCTTCTTCATCCTCGTCGATTTGGCGGCCTAACGTTGAGATCTCCCCGAGCTGTCCACGCTGTGGTTCTTCCAACACCAAGTTTTGTTATTACAACAATTACAGTCTCACTCAGCCTCGCTACTTCTGCAAAGGCTGCCGGAGATATTGGACCAAAGGCGGCTCCCTCCGAAACGTCCCCGTTGGCGGCGGGT